GATCAGGTGCTGCATGATGACATCAGTCATGCAATCCCTGCAGACATAACAGTTCTTGTAGAGTCCATGGACTGCGATGAAAATAGGCTGGGAGCAGGAAATGGTGCCATCCTGGCAACCAACCACCACATAGCTGGAATCAGGTTTCACTCTACACGTCCACACCCGGGAGGCCTGCTCCCCAACAGTTCCAAGGTGCATTCCATCCTTGGTGAAAAGGGATACTTGCTTGTCTGACCCCCGCCCTCCTTTAGTAGCTGATGCTGCAAGGGTCAAAGTTCAGTGAGCAATCCTGCCCAATCTGTTTTCCACTCAATGAAGAAGGAAAGTTTCTGTCCCCAGTCAGCTACAGCCAGGATGTCATTATGTTCCTCTCTTGAAGAGTTCCAGTAGATGGACCATATTGGGGAGAGGGAGCCCCCCAGCCACTGGATGTTCACTTTCTTCTTGCCATTTTTGTTCTGTATGCTGATGGTCCCATTGACCATCCCCAGAGCCAGGCACTGACCATCATTTGTCCAGCTGCAGCAGGTGATCTTGCTGCTTGATTTGTGCTTGGAGGTAGACTTGGGGTAGACCCAATGTCACTTGGGGAACAGGATGCTGGCTGGTGGGTAACGGGATCATAGGAGATACTGTATAGAATTATTGTGTGTGTACTTCAGAAAGTCTTCCAGTTTTGATATCCAGATCATAACACTTTTGTCAGCCAATCCAGAAGCAAAACGCTTGCCATCCTTTGCATATACCAGTGCACAGTGTCTTTGTGTCCCTTGAGGGGCTGAGGTAAGGTGCCATCAGAGGTGTCATAAAGCAGTCATCTGTTTCCTGCAGCCAGAATCAGTTGTGTTTCATCAGGCTTGAATGTGAGGTCATATGCACACTGCTCAGCTTTATCTCTCCACGTCAACACAGCCCTTGCAGTTTCCCTCACACCTCAGGTCCCTCCTCCCCACGAACCACTTAAGCCACCTCCAGGATCATTCTTTTAAAGGACCCTGCCCAGGATTTGCCAGCTGGCTGATAGCCATGCTACAAGTCAACTCAGTTATAACACCACCCACTGGGGCTATTATCAATTAACTTACCCAGAAAGGTGGAATCACTAAAATTATTAAATGTGCAGGCAGAAACATTCATACGATAATTTTAACTTAATGATTAAAGTTATTAAATGCTGGGCGTGGTGACTTATGCCTATAATCCCAACACTTTGGGAGGCCGAGACGAGAGGATTGCCTGAGCCCAGGGGCTTGAGACCAGCCTGGGCAACTTGGTGAGACCTCATTTCTACAATAAATTTTTTTTAAAAAATGAGCTGGGCGTGGTTGTGCACACCTGTAGTTCCAGCTACTTGGAAGGCTAAGCGGAAGGATTGCCTTAGTACAGCAGGTTGAGGCTGTAATGACCGTGAGCAGCGTGCCACTGCACTCCAGCCTCACTGACAGAGTGAGACTCCAACTCAGTAAATAAGTAAATAAATAAGTTACTAAATGCTTCTGCTACCATGAAGTTCAGTACTGAACCTCTAACTGTGAAGAAAATTTAACAAATTCTGTTTGATTTGAGGCTAGGCAGACACTAAGCATCTGAAGTCATTTGAAGCATATTTGTCCTGATTTTTATCTTTATGAAAATTGTATGCTTTACAAAATATGATAGAGTGGGTCAGATCTTCCCATTAGTGCATCTATTATTGTATAGTAATACAAGACAAAGTTTTAATGGAAGTGATATTTGGAAGCTGTAGCTTACAAAATCTGAAATTGATTAATTTAAAAAATTTTCTTGTCAATGGTAAATGAATATGCCGTAAGTAAAAAATAAGCTAAACGTATGTCTATCCTTTGATTTCTAGTAAGTAAAGCTGACATTTACTGAGCATTTACCATGTGCCAGGCACTGTGTAAAATACTTTTCTGCATATTATTTCACTTTATACTCACAATTTCATGAAGTAGGTTATCACCTTTTTTCAGATAAGGATATTGTTAGAGAGGATGAGAACACTGTACAAAGACTGGTTGTATGACACAAGCAATACTGCCATTCTTTCTGCAAATATTTTTTCAAGTGCTATCTTGTAAGAAATCCAATTAATTTCAATTTCATTGAATTTCATCTTTACTTCCCTCTCATCCTTGCTTAACATGAAGCAACAAGGATTATGGCAAATTGGGAATTAATAATCTAAGATAACTGAGAGTTAGTCATTATAATTATATTGAAACCTATTTACATATCCTTTGTTCTATATTGAAGCCTTGAATTCTGATGGGGGGAGAATAATTTTGATTACATATAAAATAGGGCTAGGTGTGGTGGCTCATGCCTATAATCCCAGCACTTTGGGAGGCCAAGGTAGGAGGAGGAACACTCAAGCCCAGGAGTTTGAGACCAGCCTGGACAACATAGTGTGACCCCACCCTCACAAAAAAATACCAAAAAAATTTAGCAGGGCATGGTGGTGCACACCTGTACTTCCAGCTACTCAGGAGGCTGAGGTGGAAGGATTACTTGAGCCCAGAAGTTTGAGGTTGCAGTGAGCTATAATTTTGCCACTGCACTACAGCATGGGCAACATAGTGAGACTCGTGGCTACCAAAAAATATATATATAAGTTAAACCTCTGAATAGTACACACTTTGGAGGAAGCAGAAGTATGTGTAATTATTTTGATGGTCATTCTTGATTACACACATACTTACAAGCCTAAATAAAATGTGCAAATGTAAATACTGCATTTTTAACTTCTTGTTTTCTATACTTTAAAGCATTGATTTCATAGTTAATATAATCATTCATATTTGAAAGATTTTTAAAAATTTTATGTCTCTATTGAAAATATTTTTGTTACTATAGTCTTATATCCTAAATAAAAGGTAAGTAAGGCACTTCATATTGGCTTCTGAATTTGCCATCTCTTGCCTACCGCAAAACAACTCTGGGTTTGTGTTGGATGAGTCACAAAGCAAGAGTTTGGACTTTATCATTGATTTCAGTCCTATTTTTAGAGTTATGGGGATACAAAAGATGTTCTTAATTTGGAAACATTTAAATTGGCTTGTGCGGTTTTCTTCAGAAAATATGCTATCAAACTTCAGGATCATCCTAACACCCTTTCAATATGTAATAACCATTTTGTTCAAAATGTTTATGTTCCATATGTTATCACTTAATGTACAAAAGAACACCGACACTGACATCAGTGGAATTTTATGGAAAACTGAATGAGCTAGTAAGCCTTGTCAAACAGGCATTTTCCTACTCTCTCAAAAATTATGTGTCCAAGTATAATCAAAAAAATTGAAATTATTTCCACCTATTACTTACATATTGACTGTTGTCTAAAAAACCCACAAATGTCATGGACAAGACTTTTTCACCTCTTGTTCTTTTCTTTAAAAGCACAAAAAATAGAAAAAAAAGTATGCTATACTGCAGTCCAAATTATAGGTAAGGAAAAAACCAAGTGACTTGGGAGATTGGTAGTGAATTTTCAATTATCAGTAATTTACAGGATTTGCTAATGAGTTTTATTTTCATTAGCATTGGTTTGATGTTTTCTATAAAATACAAACATTTTGCCGGGCATGGTGGCTCACGCCTATAATCCTAGTACTTTGGAAGGTGGACACGAGAGGATTGTCTAAGCCCACAGGTTCGAGACCAGCCTGGGCAATTTGGGGAGACCTCATCTCTACAATAAATAAAAAAATTAGCCAGGCATGGAGGTGCATGCCTGTGGTTCCAGCTACTTGGAAGGCTGAGGTAGTAGGATAGCCTGAGCCCTGCAGGTAAAGACTGCAGTGGCCAATAAGCATGCCACTGCACAGCAGCCTGGGCATCAGAGTGAGACTCTGACTAAAAAAAATACAATAAATAAATAAATAATAAAATAAACATTTTAAATTGATAAGGATGGAATTTTCAGATAACATTAGATTTTTCTTATTTGTAAGCATTTAAAGATTCACATTTTCACTTCAATACATAACTTAAGACTTTTCTTTCAAAATATATCTAATATATCTAAAATTAGCACAATGCCCTATGGGCAGTTTCATTTATTTGGCAGAAAAATTGAAAAAGAGAGAAGAATAAATACATTCTTCACAATTTCAGAGGTGACAAAAATCTCTGATCTTTTAAGTGGCTTCTGATCTCCTTTAAAGGATTTGAAAATGGCAAATAATGTTACATGCTCTTAGCCAGATTAATGTTCAAGGACTACCGATCTCTTTTAATAGTATACCTCTTACAATATAGTTAAAATAACTTATTTGGTAAAGCTGAATGTGTTGACCCCACAAACACCGGTCATTACTTTGATGGGAATATTTGCAAGCATTTCGTCACTGATTTCTTTGCAGTTGTTTCTTATTTTCCTGATCTTACAATTCCCCCAAGTAAAGGTGCGAAAAGCAAACATGAGACCTGTGTGGTGTAAACACAAATGCAGACGTTTGGAAGTGGATGGTTTTAAGATTAATAATGTTGGTAAACTTTTGTCGTTTCTTAAATAAAAACTTGAGTGAGTTTTCCCTTAAAATCCCCCACGTTAGTTTGTGTTCGCTCCATCAGATCCGTGCCCACGTCTCACTTCTGACCCGCGCGGTTTCGGCGTCGAGGGGGCCGGGGCCCTGAGCGAGCTGGGGGCGGCGGAATCCAATCGCTCAGGGCGCGCGACCCGGGGCGCTCGAGGGTCCGGGGGTCTGCGGGCTACAAGCCCCCGTGGCCGACTCCATCTCCAGGCCCTCCTGGGGAGTCTGAGGACTCTCCCAAACACCTCTAAAAAGTGTTTTGTTGATATTGTTGTTATTGTTTCATTCACTCAACAAAGATCTGGGCAATTTCAGATGCCCCTCCAACTTTGGAAAGCCAATCCGGGTCTCCCTTTGCAGCCTCAACATGGGTGCGCTGTCCCCGTCTTATCCCTGACCCAGGAAAGCCAGCAGAGACGCATCTCGACCATTGCTTAATAAATACTGTGTGTCTCAGCCAGATGTTTCCATTCAGCGGGGAGGCTGAGTTCCCTCCTTCCCCGCCCTGCAGCGGAACCACAACTCCCGGCAACGGGGACTACCCGGACTCCCGGAAGTCCAAGCCCTGCTGGGAGGAAGCAGCTGAGACCCCGCTAACAGACTGGGGGGTGATTTCGCCAGGAAAAGGGGGCGGGAAGGGCTGGTGGGATTCCTGTCAATTCACCACCATGAACGTGGTTTTTGCTGTGAAGCAGTACATTTCCAAAATGATAGAGGACAGCGGGCCCGGCATGAAAGTCCTTCTCATGGATAAAGAGACGGTGAGTTTGCTTTTGCTCTGTATTTGCTTGTGAAGGAGCCCTCCCTCCCTTACAATAGCTGGTCCATTCCACTGTAGGATTTAGTCTTGGATTAAAGATGTTTAGGTGAGGGTCATTTCTGCGTGACACTGGAAAGTTGTATAAAGCTTGCCTAGTAGGTCTTCGGTCTAAATGACTGTAAGCACTGCCCAGAGACTTCTTGTACCTGGAGCAGTTTATTGGAATCAGGAATCCCTTTCTAAGTGTCTCTGCCAAGAAATCATTAGTATGCCAGACAGAGCACTTGGAAGACTTTGGGATGGGCCTAGTATTTCCACTCAACGTTGTGCTTTTAAAGTCAAGCTGTTGGGGCTCAAGCTGAGATGATAGGTTATTTGCTGGCCACAGACAAAAAAAAGAAAAAACTCTTTAAGGTGATTGAAACAAATATTTTTGGACAATAATGAATTGTTCCTGTACAGAACGAACATTTAAAAAAATTACCTTGCAGATTCAGCTCAAAGGACAGAGCATGTCTTTAATTTTGGTACGTTCCCTACCTGTTTGGGGATGTTCAGGAAATGTTATGTTAGTATTTAAGTTATCCAGCTAAGCGTTAATGAACAATAACAAAAAGGCTTTAGATAAGCTACTTGTTTTTATTATTGTGGACTAGCATAATCTTAGTTAATCTTTTGTTTTTACAGACTGGTATAGTGAGTATGGTATACACACAATCCGAGATTCTTCAGAAGGAGGTGTACCTGTTTGAACGCATTGATTCTCAAAATCGAGAGATCATGAAACATCTAAAGGCAATTTGTTTCCTTCGACCTACAAAGGTACTGCATAAACTGAGCTGCCATCTGCCCAGACAAAGCAGAACACTGGTCTGAAAGCATTAAGAATGCAAAGTAAATTTATATCATCATCACTTGTGACACCATAATTATCCTGGTTTAGTCAGTGTTATAACCTTCATCCTTCTCCTTTCCATAACTCAGTTCACCCCTTACAGCCAGTTCTTCCTTCAAGATCCTTTTAGATTCACAGCTATTCCCAGCACCACAGACTACTTTTAACAGAGACGCACATCACTTTATTCCTGGATTAATCTCCATCCCTATCATGCTGAAAACTACTGCCACTCATTCTTATATATAGCTATCAGTGTCTTGCTTTTTTTTCTTTTTTTTTTTTTTGAGTTGGAATCTTACTCTGTCGTCCAGACTGGAGTGCAGTGGCAAGCTCACAGCCACCGCAACCACAGTGTGCTGGGCTCAAGCGATCCTTCCACTTCATCCTCCCAAGTAGCTGGAACTACAGGCTGTGCCATGATGCCCAGCTAATTTTTTTATTATAGAGACGAGGTCTCACTAAGTTGCCTAGGCTGGTCTTGAACGCCTGGGCTCAAGCAATCCTCTTGCCTCAGCTGCCCAAAGTGCTGGGATTAACAGGCATGAGCCACTGTACCCAGCACTGTCATGCTTCTTTACCACTAAATTCACATCTATGCTCAGGAATCTATAATGAATTGATTTTACTTCTATGATTAAATCATATTTAGCCCAACAGTGAAAGCTTTCCTGTAGCTGGTTTGGTCTACCCTTATGTGTCCAGCCTTCCTGTGTCCCAACTCTGCTCCTCCACTATAGCCAACTGGGCCTTTTTATCCCTCTGTATGCTCATTCCTGTCCCTTGTTTGTTCTCTTCCCTAATTAAAGATTCTTTAGTCATTTGTTAGTTTTGTTCATCACTTCCTAAATCTAGCTTACTTAATCTTTTGTCTCTCCTTTAAAAGACTCTCCTGTAAAATCCTTTTCTATTTTAATCTTAGATTTTCTACTTTCTTGCTTGATGTTCATGTTTTCAACTCCAGTGCACTTTCACTATACTTGTACATTATATACTTTCCAAATGCAAATCTGATCACAACGTCGATGTTTGAAATTCTTGAATGACTTCTCACTGCTTTTATGATAAAGACAGAACTCCTTGGTTGTGGTCTGCAAGGTTTTGTGTAGTCTTGTTTCTGACGTTTCTCCAGCCCCATTTCAAACCATTTCCCCTTTTACACTCTGCACCTTATCCACCCTAATCTTTTGGCCCACTATATTCCCCTTGTTCCATCATGCCACAGGACCTTTACATAGGTTTCTCTCTGCCTGGAACTCCTTCCCTTCCTCAGGCAAACCTTTCCTGGTCTTGCTGACCAGGTCAAATCTGCCTCTTATAAGCACTTACAGTACCATCTTTCTCTTCCTATTGATTGTCATGGTTGAAGTTTTGTATGGTTTGTGTGATTAATTAAAATCTATTGGCCTGGCTTGGTGGCTCAGCCTGTAATCCCAGCACTTTAGGAGGCCAAGACAAGTGGATTGCCTGAGCCCGCAGGTTTGAGACCAGCCCAGGCAACTTGGCAAGCCCTGTCTCTACAATAAATGAAAATTAGCCGGGCATGGTAGCGCGCACCTGTAGTTCCGGCTACTTGGAAGGCTGAGGCGGAGGATCGCGGGAGCCCAGCAGGTCAAGGCTGCGGTGGCTGTGAGCATGCCACGGCACTCCAGCCTGGGTGACAGAGTGAGACTCCAACTCAAAAAATAAATAAATATGTAAATTAAATTAAATCAATCCCACCTGCCAACAGTAAGCCCATGATAACAGCCATGGTATCTTTTTTCACTTATATATTCCCATTTCCTGCCACACGGTGGACACTAAATACATAGTTGCTGAATAAATGAATATGTGCTGTGTTATAGTAGTTTCCAGTTGTTTCACATTTGTATCTCTGAGTCATGAAATTATGGTTCAAGAGGGATCTTAGAGATCATCTAGTACATTATTTCCTAACATTTTTATGAGAGAACCTCTTTCACAGTTACATATACTCTCTCAAGTGCTCTTAGGAAGCTTATAATTCACATTGTTGTTTTGCCTAGCATATTATGAGGAAATAGTTTTAGGTTTAAAATATTTGTTATTAAATTTTTTTTTCCTGCCAGGCATAGTGGCTTATGCCTATAAGCGCATAACTTTGGAAGGTCAAGGCAGGAGGATTGCTTGAGACCAGGATTTCAAGACCTAGGCAACATAGTGAGACTGTCTCTATAAACAAGATTAAAATAAAAAAACAGTAGCCCTCCATCAAAAGATAGAAATAGTGAAATGTAAATAAATTAACTATATCAATTAAAATATTTTTCCTTAAGATTATATAGGAAACTCAGCCTGTAATCCTAGCACTTTGGGAGGCCGAGGCAAGTGGATTGCCTGAGCCTGTGGGTTCGAGACCATCCCGGGCAACTTGGCGAGACCTCGTCTCTACAATAAAATAAAAAATCAGCCAGGCAGGGTAGCGCACGTCTGTAGTTCCGGCTACTTGGAAGGCTGAGGTGGAAGGATCGCCAGAGCCCAGCATGTTGATGCTGAGGTGGCTGTGAGTGTGCATGGCACTCCAACCTGGGCAGACGGAATGAGACTCCAACTCAAAAAAATATATATATATATTATATAGGAAACTTAATGCATTTAAAAATCTAAATAGCAATTTTTAAAGCCTTTTTCCCATTTAACAGGTAATGTGCATTTTACCTGTAAAATTCTGTAAAGAAACATGATTTTTAAAACATTCAAAAGTGAAATATGTTTAGAGGACATCATTTATATAGAAATTAAACCATGTATTATAGTATCAAAAATCAATAAAACCTGTATTATGATCTTATATGATTGGGATTCTTATGTTTTGACTATATTAAATTGCTTGGTTCTTTTTTTTAACTTAATATTTTATTTTAAAATCATGAAATTATTGAAAAGGTCATAACCTGCTATTTGCAAATACTCTACAAACGTTGCAATTGTACAGAATCTGGTCCCAATAAGTTAAAAGCAAAAGTGAATATAATTAGCTATATTTTCTCTTGAATATGAATTTTTACAGAACTAGACATAATTTTGATGTTCTGTATAAGAATTTTGATCAGATGAATATAATTTATAGACAAGCAGCTTGAGACAAATTTGCAGAATTATTATTTTATATTTCAACATCTCTATCCTTTATATTTTTACCATAATTTAACTAAAATAAGACAGCTGGTTAATACTTACTATTAATCATATGATATTAATAATACATAATATGATCGCTGATCTTTGTATTTAATGTATCTCTTTTTTGTCCCCAGCCCTTACAATATACAGTAGACTCTCAGTAAATAAATAAGTTAATGGATAATACTTATTTTTTCTTAAGCAATTCTCCTCATATAGTGTTTGGTTGTTTTTTATTTTCTAGGAGAATGTGGATTATTTGATTCAGGAACTCCGAAGACCCAAATACAGTATATATTTTATTTGTAAGTATGTTCGTTTTCTTTTTCTTTTTCTTTTTCTTTTTGAGTCAGAGTCTCACTCTTACCCAGACTGGAATGCAGTGGCACACTCACGGCCACTGCAGCCTTGACCTGCTGGGCTCAAGCAATCCTTCTGCTTTCAGCCTTCCAAGTAGCTGGAAATACAGGTGTGTTTCACCACACCTGGCTAATTTTTTTATTTATTGTAGAGACAAGGTCTTGCTATGTTGCCCTGGCTGGTCTCAAACCCGTGGGCTCAGGCAGTCCTCTCACCTCTGTCTCCCAAAGTGCTGGCATTAAAGGTATGAACCAGCGCACTTGGCCATTTCGCTTTTTCAAACATGCAACTATATCACAGCTAATGTGTTTCATTAAGCACTTCATTTCATCAGTAAGTTCACTGAATTCATCACTCTACAAGTCTGGCTTATTTAAAGTTCTTTCAAATTACTAAAAGTCTCATGATCAGCATTCTATTTCAGACAGCTAAATATAATTTCTATTTATCTTTGATTGCTTAGATTAAAAATGTTTACATTTTAATTTGCTTTTCAGGATGCTTTGTAAATCACAGTTTCTAAATAGCCAAATTTCACATCTTTTCAAAGCATAGAAGCTATTTATTTCTTTTAAAGGAGGGTATTCTTAAGTTTGTTGGAAAAGCAGAGGTTTACTTTACATACCAAATGAAAACATTTCACTTCTCTTTGCTGCTATGTGTAATGCATGAAAATACAAATAATCTGGTAGGTATCTCCTATAAGCACAACTTTTTGGGGAAGAGGGTGAGTAGGGAAGGCCTGGAAATAAACTAGGTTTGTGATTATACAATTTACGTGGATTTTTTTTTTTTAATTCGATACATTCTGCTGTGGAAGTTACTTCTGTTTTCCTCTAGATGTCATTATTGATCTTCACAGGATTAGTATAGCCTATTTGGTAGCATTTCCAAAGTTAAGGACTGACCTTAACACTCAGTAAGTAGGGCTTCTGAGAAGTTTTAACGCTTACATAAATGCTTTAGAGTTTTAGGGTCTAGACTATGGTCTGGGACATACATACTTTCTTTAGCATATACAGTACTACTACTTAATAATGATACCAAAAATTAACATTTGTAATAAGGCTTTATGAAGCGTCATCTCATATTTCATTCAGTTCTGTGTAGAACTGAAAAGTTGTATAAAGCTTGCCCAGTGTATTTTCTGCACATAATACCCCAAGATGTAAAAGTAGGCAATTTTATTAGTTTCTGGTATCCTCGTTTTTGTTTGTTTATTTTTGGCTAATAGCCACAGGTTTTCTTTTTTACAAAACTTTTTATTTTGAAATAATTGTAGAGTCATGCACAGTTTTAAAAAAAATAATACAGAGATCCAGTATATCCTTTACCCAGTTTCCTCCTATGTAGTATCTTATGTGACAGCACAGTATCACAACCGGTATATTAACACTGATATCAGGATACAGAACATTGTCATCTTTACAAGGACTTCTTATAGTGCCCTTTTATTAACCGCATATACTTCTCTCCTACCCTAAACCCCTCATTAACCCTGGTATCACTCTGTGACTTTGTCATTTCAACCAAGTGCTATAAATAGAATCATACATATGTAATCTTTTGGAATTGGCTTTTTCCACTCAGCATAATTCTCTGGAGATTTGTCCAGGTTGTTGCATCTATCATAGTTAGCTCATTATTATTGCTGAGTAGTGTTCCATGATATGGATGTACCACAGTTTCTTTAATATTTACTACTGGCAGACATTTGAGTTATTTCCAGTTTTGACTACTACAAATAAAACTGCTCTAAACATCTGTGTGCAGGTTTTTGTGGGAACATAAGACTTCATTTCTCTATATAATACCCAGGAATGCAAATGCTAGGAGTCATATGGCAATTGCATGTTTTGTGTGTTAAGAAACTGCCAAATGTTAATATACCATTTTACCTTTTCACGAGCAATGCATGGGTGATCCAGTTTCTTTGCATCCTCTAAGCATTTGGTGTTGTCTCTATTTTTTATTTTAGGCATTCAGATAGGCGTGTAGTCATTCCAGTATTTTTTTAGTCTGATCACAAGCTAGATCCTCAGGAAAGTGTACAAACTTTTGTATATCTCCACTGTACTGCCAAATTTAAGTGGACATATAATAGAATCACTCTTTTGCTGAGTTTCTTGGCTAACAATTGACTGGGTCATGAGGTGAAAGGCTTCTTTTTCCTCTAAAGAGAGTTATTTGCAGTGGTTGAGATTAATAAAGGTTAAAAAAAATCTGGTATTTACTCTTCTAATTCTAAAGACCGTTTGGACTAAATCTATGAAGCAGAAGAAAAATATTATGTTAAAGTAGTACTAAGGCCTATGAAAAAGAGACTTGAAATTTCTTAAGTGGAGCAGTCAATTTCAGAATTTTATTTAATTGAAGTAAACTAAAATTCATTTGTATATAGTAATTTTATTCATTACAAACCTGCAGCACAATTTATATCAGGACTAAACTGACCTTATCTGTTCATCTCATTTTTTATCATTATATTTTCAAATATTTTATGTTACTAAATTTCCTGTATAAAAGGTCCTTCCCTTTATTATTATTATCATTATTATTTTAAAGCAGGATTTATTGAGACGACAGAAAAGCTCCCACAGTGGGAGGGAACCCGAAAGGGTTGCCCAACCCTTCCCTTTATTAAACACACTTTTTTATTATGGAAATTTTCAAATACGTGAAAAAGTAGAGTAGTAGAAAAATGTACCAGTGTACCTGTCACCCAACTTCCACAATTATTGAGCCATTCCCAATCTTCCTTTAGTTATACTGTCACCTGTTCCCCATCAGTATTATTTTAAAGCAAATCTAAGACATCATATAATTTCATCCATACATATTTCAGTATACATCTCTAAAATATAAGGATTCATTTTTAAAAACAATTACATTATTATATTCAGATAAAAATGAAAAATAATTATTAGTCTCAAATATTCATTCAGTGTTCAAATTTCTAATGTCTCATGTCTTTTTTGTTTGTTTGTTTGAATCGGGATAAAGTCAAGTCCACACATTACTATTAGTTACTATTGAAATGTTAGGGTTCTTTCATTTTCTATAGCTATCTCCCATAACTCCTTCCAATTCTGCCCCCCAATATTGATGAGACTGTTTTCCACAGCCTGGACCTTGCTGATTGCATCCCCATGGATACATCCCCATGGAGTAGTTTAACTGTTCCTTGAAGTTTAAAATATTTCTCTAGCCGGGCTCGGTGGCTCAGCCTGTAATCCCGCGCCTTGGGAGGCTGAGGTGAGTGAATTGCCTGAGCCCGCGGGTTCGAGACCCGCTTGGGCAACTTGGTGAGACCTCATCTCTACAATAAATCAAAAAGTTAGCCGGGCATGGTAGCGCATGCCTGTAGTTCCAGCTACTTGGAAGGCTGAGGCGGAAGGATCGCCAGAGCCCGGAGGTCAAGGCTGCAGTAGCCGGGAGCGGCCACTGCACTCCAGTTTGGGTGACGGAGTGAGACTCCAATTCAAAAAAAAAAAAAAATTAAAATATTCCTCTATCCTCTAGTTCCTTTAAATTCATAGGTTGGTATACAGCCTAAGTTAGATTAAGATTTGATTTCATTTTGGCAACTTTATGGGTGGTGGTATGTGCTCTCATTAGTTATCTTCCTTTTTATATTAGCAGCTGCCAATTTTCAATGCCTAGATCTATCCTTTAATTCATTAGGTTTTGGGAAAATGATGATTTTCCAATTCTGTTATTAATATTCCTTCTTTGTTTTTGAACTGGGATATATCTATAGAGAAAAATTTCCCCTCGTCTACTATTTGCACCTGGTGGTACAATTTATATATAAGTACTGAATAAAAGCTTGCTTCTTTCTCTTTATTTGCTATTTTCAGTATAATGACTTTGTTCCCTGGTATCTTCATTCTCCAAAGCCTCCAATGGTGGTTCTTTTTTGGGGGGGGGGTATTATTATGAATTTGTGTATTTAAACATATTTGTGCTACTCACTCCAATTTGAAGGTGCTTGACGTGTACTTCAAGCACCTTGACGTGTGCTTGATGTGTGCCAAACTTCATTTACTCATTAGGCTGTCAGGCCCATTTACATCTAAGTGCAGCAAAGATAATCTCCTTTGAGTCAATGGCAACTCATGTGTCTGTTTCAGATTTCAGTAATGTGATCAGCAAGAGTGATGTGAAGTCATTGGCTGAAGCTGATGAACAGGAAGTTGTGGCTGAGGTTCAGGTAAACATTGGTCCTGTGACACATCTCTTATGTTGGCCCTTTTAAAAGACTTGAGTCTAAAGATAAAAAATAATCAGATCTGCCTCAAAAGAAGGGATGCTATTAATCAGGCAGAACACATGTGCATTGTGCCAGACTATTCTTTTTTTTTTTTTTTTTGAGTCGTATCTCATTCTGTCACCCAGGCTGGAGTTCAGTGGCACCCTCACCACCACTGAGCCTCGACCTGGTGGCTCAGGTGATCCTTCAGCCTCAGCCTTCCAAGTAGCCTTCCAAGTAGCATGCGCTACCACGCCCAGCTTATTGTTTTATTTATTATAGAGATGAGGTCTCACCAAGTTGCCCAGGCTGGTCTCAAACCCCTGAACTCAGGCAATCCTCTTGCCTCGGCCTCCCAAAGTGCTGGAATTACAGCCTTGAGCCACCACACCCGGCCCAGACTATTCTTATATTTAGAAAATTTGAAGAGTTGTCTTTTGGGTTAGAAACAGAACCAAGGAATCAGAGGGAATGAGGAGATTGGGCTTTTTAGTTGGAAAGAAGGTTTTCACAGGATTGAAACAGAGTTTATAAGCCACACTATTAGATTGCTCATCAATAGGACTAGGTCTTATTGGGAAGAAAAGGAAGCAAAGGTTGTGAATGAGGTTTCTCAAAGTCCTGTTTGTGATTTCCATGCTTTCGGTGGCCTGAGCAGGCTTTTGTTATTAGGTTAAAACTTGGAAACTCCTGAACATTTATTCTTCATGCTACAGAATACCTCACATTAGAACATATTATGTTACCTTTTCCTTCTTAAACACCTTAGAATTCTTGAATATATATCACAAATGTTTGAGTATGTTTATCTCCTAAATGAAGAAAATTGTTTTCAGAGGTAGCAAATAAACTAGTTTGTAATTTTTTCAGAGCAATATGCTAAGTGATAAATGAATAAAAAGAATGACCTCTTTAAATTATATTCTCTCCTCTGAGTATACATTGGGCAGCAAAGTTCTTTTACATTTGCCTGTAACATTATATGTCGTATAGCAGTGCTTTATTTTTACTAACTGGTAAGTATGCATAGAGGTCTCCAGAAATATAATATGTATACACTTACAATTTTTGTTTTTTAGATTTATTATTATTATCGTTACTGTTTTATAATTATGTTAATTCTCCCACATTGACTGCTGTTACTCCGTTATTAATTGAGCTATCTTTGTATCTCTTTGCATCTGTATTTCCCCAAGTTTGGCTATATCATATAGTATTATTGTATGGCATATGAAAATATTACTGCTTGATGCAATTGGAGCTCATGGAATGACTGTTTTTGATGCTTTATTTGCAGGAATTTTATGGTGATTACATTGCTGTGAATCCACATTTGTTTTCCCTCAATATTTTGGGTTGCTGCCAGGTATGGAAGGAAAGAATTTAAAAAGGTTAATTTATCAATTGGAAGTTAATTCAGCAAGTAATTAGACTTGTAAGTAAAAATTCAAATATTTTCTCTGAGCATATATTTCTTAACAAAAAGGGTCGAAATTGGGATCCAGCCCAGCTATCTAGAACAACTCAAGGACTCACAGCTCTCCTTTTATCTCTGAAGAAGTGTCCTATGATTCGTTATCAGCTTTCATCAGAGGCAGCAAAGAGACTTGCAGAATGCGTTAAGGTATGGCATTCCCTGTCACTAGTTTTAAAACATTAAGGTCATTCGTTTCCTTATCTTATTCTAGAAACTAAAGGAATATTTTATCTACAACCAAAAAGATGATTAATGTTAGGTTTACTGGCAAAGAGGTAGTGTAATTTTTATTTTATTTTTATTTTTTTGAGTTGGAGTCTCACTCTGTTGCCCCAGCTGGAGTGCAGTGACACACTCACGGCCACCCCAGCGTCAACCTTCTGGACTCAGGCAATCCTTCCGTCTCAGCCTTCCAAATAGCTGGAACTATAAGCGCGTGCTACCACACCCAGCTAATTTTTTATTTATTGTAGAGGTGAGGTCTCGCCAAGTTACCCAGGCTGGTCTCAGACCCGTGCGTGGGCTCAGGCAATCCACTTGCCTCAGGTTCCCAAAGTGCTGGGATTACAGGCTGAGCCATCGAATATGAAATTTAAAACAAAAAGCAACAAAATAGAGCAAAGATTCTTAGGTTTAACTCAAGAAACATTCACAAGCTATTTAACTTTTTTGATCCAACTATATGACTTGTAAAATAGCATTTCATAGCCTGACCTTTTAAAAAGTACGCTACTATGTGACACTTTTAAACAGATACAAAAAACTATTGTTAAATGTGGCTGCTATTTTTCAATTTTCTACTTACATCCTCTCTATATACAACTAATTGGTTGACCAAACCATCTTTCTTTCTCACCCCACAGCAAGTGATAACTAAAGAGTATGAACTCTTTGAATTCCGGCGAACAGAGGTTCCTCCATTGCTGCTTATTTTAGATCGCTGTGATGATGCCATCACTCCATTGCTAAACCAGGTACAGAGCCCTTCGTTAGCATAATAGAAGGATGATTTTAAATGATATTCCTCAAAATGCAGATATGGAAATAAACAGTATGGTCCATTTGTTTGCTTCCTTATTTTCAGCTATTCTTGCTCTTGCCTTGTATTTCCTGGTGTTTTGGTACAACTGTTCTTCCATCCAGTCATTATTAACTCTTTATTCTGCCTTATCCTTCCTGTCCTGTTCTGCCACCACCTCTACCTCTAATCAAGACAATTTCTTAATTCTGTAGATTCTCTCTTCCAGTGTTTCCTTCTGTCTCCTCTATTCCATTCTTACTGCCATTGCCTTGGTATAGACCCCAGTCTCTTACAGAAATATTAAAATAGTCATCTGTTAATTTTTTCTCACTCTAATATGTTTTACAAACACGTTATTAAATTACTTTTCCTAAAGCACAACTCCAATCTTATTACTCCTGACTTAAAAATCTTCATTAGTTCCATTTACCTACTAGGTTAAAAAACAGACCCCTGAACATGGCATCCAGGAGCCTTCACAGTGTGGGCTGAACCTTACATAAAATGTATAACTCGCTGCAACATAGATATGCCACATGGTTTCCTGCCAGCATACTTTTACCATGACTACTGTCTAAACTCTGAAATGTTTGGAATGCCTTCTCTTCCCATCTTCACCTATCAAAACACTTCTCCTTTGAAACCACTCGAAAGCCATCTAATATCTCCATGAAACCCATAGTCTTTCTTTCTTTCTTTTTCCTTTCCTACAATTCAGGGTTAGGTATACAAGTGTTCATTATGCAGGTACCCTTGTTGATGAGGTGTGCCCCTCCCTCCGCTGGCAATTTCCCTCAACTGCCAATCCCACCCCCCCTCCCCTCCCAGCCCCAGCAGTTTTCTACTACTGCCAGTCCCTTTCTTATAGTATTATGATATTGTATTATTTCAATCAAGACATGTTCTTGTCCCCTGAAAGTCACTATAGCTCTTTGTGTCTCTCTTATGTCTCATGATATAGCTTGCAGTGTTGAACCTTTAGTTGTTTTCACTTTCTCCTAGATTATCCGTTTCTTCAGGGCAGATTGTGTCTCACAATTGTTTTTTCTCTTGCAACTATAAGCACAGTGCCTTGCACATAGTAGATGCTCTATTAATAGTGACTTTGTATTTTTAGAAAAAGGCAGTCTGTGTTTTGGTTTCTTCTCAGCTTATATTAACATTAATACTAAGAGAAATCTTTGAGCTGGGCACAGTGGCTCACACCCATAATCTCAACAGTTTGGGAGATGGAGGTGAGAGGATTGCCTGAGCCCAGGAGTTGGAGACCAGCCTGGATACAATGGCAAGATTTTGTGTCTACAAAAAATCAAATATTAGCTGGGCGTGGTGGCACATGCCTATAGTGCCACCTACTTGGAAGGCTAAGGTGGAAGAATCATGCCACTGCACTCCAGCCTGGGCAACAGAGTGAGACTCCAACTCAAAAAAAAAATAAAAAAAGAAAAAGAAATCTGTGGCAGTGGATTGAAACATCTCTATAGTATAAGATAGCCCCATATTCCTAAAATTCAAAGTAATATGATTCATTAAACAAACTTTTGATAATATCATAAAGTAGAAAGAAAACCAATTGCCTATAATTTGGTCTTTCAAAGAAAAGCAACATCCAACAAATTTCACTGGGGACCTGTTTATATACCACATGCTGAAATAAGTATAGAAATGAAAGATTAAAAAATACAGTCTCTGCCCTTAAAGAACTTATGGTCCAATGATGAGAAAAATAAACATAATTTTAATTTTATAGTAAGTGCTATGGCAGCAGCATGCACAGGAAGCTGTCTGTAGAAACAGGAAAGATTTTGTTGTACTTATTTTAAATGCCCTAATGGAACTTTGTCAGAGATTTCTTTTGGCAAGTCTTTTTTTTTTTTATAGATTAGAAAACATAGTTTATTTTTTATTTTTTTAATTTTTTTTGAGTCTTGAGTCTCACTCCGTCGCCCAGACTGGAGTGCAGTGGCCGCTCCCAGCCACCACAGCCTCGCCTGCTGGGCTCAGGTGATCCTTCCGCCTCAGCCTTCCGAGTAGCCGGAATTACAGGCATGTGCTACCAAGCCCAGCTGATTTTTGATTTATTGTAGAGATGAGGTCTCACTGCCCAGGCGGGTCTCAAACCCGCAGGCTCAGGCAATCCACTCACCTCAGCCTCCCAAAGTTGCGGGATTACAGACTGAGCCACCGAGCCCGGCTTAATTTTTTGATTTATTGTAGAGATAAGGTCTCGCCAAGTTGCCCGGGCGGGTCTTGAACCCGCGGGCTCAGGCAGTCCACTCACCTCTGCCTCCCCAAGCAAGGGATTACAGGCTGAGCCACCGAGCCCGCAACATAGTTTATTTAAAAGTAAATTAGAGCCAGAGAGAGAAAGAGAAGATTTACCTCCCCAAGGTGGGAGAGGGCGCCAAAGCCAGGAAGCATGGCAACAGCCATAGCTCAAAGAGCACATGACCACACCAGAGTCTAGCAAGGCAATGGCCTCTTTTAGCAAATCTTTTAGGAAATAAGCACCTTCTTTTATAACCTTTTCTTAATAAAATTTGTTTTCTTAAGAGAAAATATAAGTATGCAAATATCTCTAGCATTTAGGATCTAGATTTAGAAGGGAATTTGCCAGAAAATACTTAGTTTTGTATAGTAAACCTATGACTGAAAGTAATCCATTCTCCATAAATGGTGAGAAGGCAAAATTTGGGGATTTCTCCTTTTCAGTTTTACCAAATAAATTTACATTTTGTAAAACTGGAAACCAATCATACTTCACAATTCATATAAGATAAAAATATAAAATAAAATGGAATCCAAGGCAATTTTCCAAATATTGCCAGTGTTTTGATCAACTCATAAAGTTTTTTCTGATGATATTAGTGTTCTCAGGATAAATATAGTACCACTCAGATCTGCAAGAACACACTTCTCATGCTGCAGAAAACCACAGAAGCGTACAGGAAATGGTACAGCTTGTAACTGCAGTACCAATATAGTTCTAACTGTGAAGCCAAAAATATACCCTTAATTCACAGGCAAAAGCTGGAGCTAATGATAGATCTAATTTGTTTTCTTTCTATCAAGAATACTAATCTTGCTGCCCTTCATCCAAAAGTGTGAAATCTAAAAGTATTTTGACTTTTTGGTATTTAACTAATTAAAATGATCATTTTAATGCTTATTATTGCACAAAGTATTAATACAATCTGAGCTAAATAAAGAATCTTCACGTAAAGAAGACTAGTTGCTAAGAATGTTATCAAGTTTTATTTTCCTGCATGTTTGCTATTTCTATGTTTTATCAGTTACCAATTCTTTTTCATAATTTATTTATTTAGTGGACATATCAGGCCATGGTCCATGAACTACTAGGCATAAACAACAATCGAATTGATCTTTCCAGAGTGCCGGGAATCAGTAAAGACCTAAGAGAGGTGGTCCTGTCTGCTGAAAATGATGAATTCTATGCTAACGTAGGTGGTTTTGAACTTTTTAAAAATTGTTTTTAGTTGTTTCATGTAAGAAGATCAATAGTGTCTTGTTAGAATGAAGAGGGCAGGTATGGGATTCCATATGAAAGGATGATAGAGGCTGTGTCTCAGGGGAAGGGAGAACACTTGGATTCTGACACTCTAACAATGTTTTTTTTCATAGTGATCGCTTAGTTATTTACTTCCCTCCCTTCCAGTAGCTCTTTGTGAGAATAGTGATGGTATTCATCACCAGTGTCCTGGCTAACGTCCAGATTTGGTAATTAAAATGGAATTTTCCTGCCCTTCAATTCTGTGTTCAGGATTCTTTTTCACTTTTTAAAAATTGTCTGAAAGTCAGCCTAGTTGATGAACTCTGCTTCCAACTTCCTTTTTCACAGAATATGTACCTGAACTTTGCTGAGATTGGTAGCAATATAAAGAATCTCATGGAAGACTTTCAGAAGAAGAAACCAAAAGAACAGCAAAAACTGGAATCAATAGCAGATATGAAGGTAAATTGAACATGTACATGAATGACTAACATGTGAGACTTTGGAACTGTTCATGTAAGCAACATTCCTGGAATCTTCTGGATCTGATTTCTACCTTGATTTGTTTTATTTGGTTTGAGACGTATTTTCTATGTCTTTTTAGGAAACCATATAGTGAAAACTTCATAAGCCATGTGCTTCTATCCATTCTTCAGTTATATTTGGACTATTTGTTTTATTTTTCAAACTGTATCCAGCTTTGTTAAAGATACTTTTCATAAACAATCATGGTATTTTGGGCAGAACATGGGCAGACAATCATTAACAGTATGCAACAGCTTTCAAACTCCCTTCTTTAATTGGCTTCCAAAATCAGAAAAAAGCCTCTATAAAACCCAATTAAGTCTTCATTTGATACTCTGAACAGGGAGGGAGACTTTAGAGTGAGGGTTGACATTTCGCATCTAGCATGTTGTTTGACAACTTTTCACATGCCAACCCTGACTTTCAGGAAATGAAATTAAAATGGCAAAATTTATCTGAAGATCCACCATCTATAAACAGAACTGCTGCTCTTTTGCGGGGTGTCATCTCAGTAGCACCAGTGACATACTGGTAACCAATTACTGGGGTCAGGTCCAAACAGATGTCTGGGTTTAAGGGAGTTAAGTCTATGCTGAATGCAGAGAGGGAGAAGAAGACATAAAAAAAGTTTTTGTTTTTCTACACCACAAGGCATTTGTACCAAGGTGGCTATGTGTGTTAACGTCAGGGAATCCCTCTTCCTGGAAGCCAAGAGGAAGTCTCTGAAAACTAGAAGGGAAAGGCATTTCCCCCATATCAATCCAACTTTGAAGACATTCTATTAATGACATAGGCCCCTTTCCCAAAAAGCAACAATGAAGTATTCTGTGTACTAACAACATAGCTTTAAAAAAAGTAAAACAAACTTCAGCATTTTTACAAAACTCATTTAAAAATAGTATTTCAAACTGTATAGTCACCAGATGTACACCATTACCAAAAATACACACACTTCCCTTTCCATCTCCAGCACCTCCAGCTTTCTGGGCCTGGTCTGTTTTGCCATCTCCATTTCCTGCAGGGCTGTTCCCCTCCTTGCCAGTATCAGCTTTTCCCTTTCCCTTTAGGTACCTCTCTCCCTTCCTAGCTGGGGCCTTCTTAGATTTGGGCTCTGGCTTTGGAGGAGCAGGTTTAGCAGACAGCCTTGAGGATCTTCTCTGGGGTTCGTCCTTCACTTTGGCTCTTTCTCCTTTAGCATCCCCTTCAGCCTTTCTCTTGGGCATGGTGGCAACAGCATAGAACTAAGACACTGGACACTGGGATGGAGCAGCGCGCAGGCTTTGGTCGGTCCAGGGGTCGTCATTGCCTCTTCTTCTTCACACTGCTCCATATTTGGACTATTTAAAGACTCAGTTTACCAACCTATACCAGTTTTTCTCTTCTTAAGCATAACAAAATAAACATGTGACTGAAAGTTGTAGGTGCCTTAGTATGAGCTGAAATAAACCCCTACTTTTTTTTCTCCTTCTTTACACATGCCTATCTTCAGTCAAAAAGTAATTTCCCATTGATGTTTTTCCCATGGCAGGCTTTTGTTGAGAATTATCCACAGTTTAAGAAGATGTCTGGGACTGTATCAAAGCATGTGACAGTGGTTGGAGAACTGTCTCGATTGGTCAGTGAGCGGAATCTGCTGGAGGTTTCAGAGGTTGAGCAAGAACTGGCCTGTCAAAATGACCATTCTAGTGCTCTCCAGGTCAGTCCAATTTGATGAGCACCTACTATGTGTAAGGCACTGTGCCAGGCAGAGCAAGAGATACAAAGGCAAGTAATCCTTCCTTATCAGTGTGGAATTTATTCTAACAAGGAGTTGAGACAAGAACATAAACTAATATTATTTAAGGTAGATACATAGTAAGAGCCATGAGCACAGTATAATGTGCAGCCTCTAAGGGTTCCATTAATTGAGTATTTATGAGGGCAGCCTAGTCTACTAGAAAGAGCACTAAGTTAGAATTAGAAGATTGGGTTTTTAGCATTTAGTTTATCACTTACTGGCATTGGCACCTGGAGCTATTGACTTAATCTCTGAGCCAGTTTCATCATTTATAACATAGGTATAATAATACTTGTCTCATAGGGTTGTTAGGAAGACTTTAAAACATATAATATATATTAAAATGCATTGTCTAAATTATTGAAGATTGCTTATTATTGAAGATTTTTTATTATTGAAGATTGCTTTTCAGCCCACAAACATGTGAATGCCTGCTATATGAGGGGAACCAAAAATACCCGGAATTTATTTATTAAAAAATTATGTATTTACTCTTACATGTTTAAACTGCAGTCACCTTCAAAGTACTTTCTATGTGATGTAATACACCTATCGAGATGGTTTTTCCACTACTCAAAACAGTTTCTGAACTCATCAATTGTAATGCCTTTTAGTGCTTCTGCCGTTTTTTGTTTCACCTCTTCCACATGGGCAAAACATTTCCCTTGGAGGACTTTTTTCATCCGGGAAAATGAAAAAAAATCACTTGAGGCAAGACTGGGTGAATAGGAAGGGTGGGGCATGGAGGTCATGCCATTTTTGGTCAAAAACTGCTGAACACTCAGTGGGGTAGGCAGGTATGATGTCATGCTGGAAGAACCAATCTCCTGTTTGCCACAACTCGGGATGTTTCTTCTGCAAATCGTGATGCGACCTTCTCAAAACTTCTAGATAAAAACCAGTGGGTTCCTAGAACACTCACCTAGCAGGGTAAGCCTATATTACAAGGGACCCACCTTCCAAAAAGATAATTCTGGTTTTTTAGGGGTCTCCCATTGAATGTACATACTGCTGCTATGAGGATCTAGAAGTACAAAGATGAGCAAGATAACATCTTATCCCTTAAAAAGCTCACATTATAGTAGGGGAGAAAAATATTTAAACCAGGAATCATAATACCATGTAATACGTGCTATAACAGTGATATTACAAAGGAATATGGAGCTATAGAGAAAGGACAACTGTTTTCTCCAAGGATGAGGCTTCTTAGAGAAAATGGCATTAAACTGGGTCTGGACAGATAAATAAGTAGGAGTGCACCAAGCAGTCAAAAAGGAGAAACATTCTCAGCAGAGAGAATGCAGAATAGAGTTGTGAAAAAGAATATGTATTAAATACATATTTTAAAATAGGGGCAACCCCTTTGGGTCCCCTCCCACTGTGGGAGCTTTTTTATCCTCTTTATAAATTCTGCTTTCTCACTTAAAAAAAAAAAAAAAATACACACACACACACACACACTTATGTATGTGTGTATATATATATATATATATATATACTCTCTATAAAATATATACATGGGATAGAGAATAGTTCAGTGTAGCGAGTGCAGGGCACAAGATGAAGAGTGGTCTTAGATAAACTAGAAAGACTGACTGAGGTCAGATTACAGCCATTTAAAAGAGACTATCCTTTAATTTTAAAATTATGGGAGCTACCAGAGGATTTTAGAAAAGAGGCACCTTCTAAAAAAGAATAAACCCTAGCCTCAAGAAATTTGTAGTCTAGTTTGAACAGACAAAGCTAAAGTATGAGAAAAAATTAGATAATTAAGTCAAAATTAAGTACTGACTATAATGGGATTTGAGATTATTAGGAATGAATAGAATTTGGGGGAGGATTTTAGTCAGGGATGACAGCAACAGCAAAGATGCAAAACTATGCATGAAATAATAAAGTTTGAACTCTTGGGCTGGGCACAGTGGCTCATGCTTGTAATCTCAGTACTTTGAGAGGCTGAGGCAGGAGGATTGCTTGAGCCCAGCAGTTCAAAGATCAGCCTGGCAACATAGCAAGACCTCATTTCTACAAAAAATTCAAAATTTAGCCAGGCATGGTGGCATACGCCTGTAGTCCCAGCTACCTGGGGGGCTGAGGCTGAAGGATCATCTGTGCCCAGGAGTTCAAGGCTGTGGTGAGCCATGTGTGTGCCACTGCACTCCAGCCTGGGAGACAGAGTGAGACTCTGACTAAAAAAAAAAAAAAAAAATTGTTTTTTTGACCAATTGATAGTGGGTGTGGAAGAGAAATAGATATGAAATTGAATTGGTAAACAGGGACCAATTTACAAGCCTTATGATGGAAGCTTGTAAAAGGAATTTATATTTGCTGAGATAGGCAAAGATCCAGTATAGGATCTTATGTAGAAAGTTGAAGTGACAAAAGCAGTATTTTAGGGAGTTTAATCAAGTAAGGATCCTTCAGAGGTAAAAACAAAAACAAAAAAAGCACCCTGAAGTCAGAGAGGCTTATAGACTTACAGTGATAGTAGTAAAAATGTACAGTAAGAGGCAAATCTGAGAAAACAAATGACAGAGTGGATATAAAGATAGAGCAAATCAGAGGTAATTCCATGGTTCCTGAGAAATGACAAGATAAGATATCATCGACAAACAATTTAGGAATACGCGTCCTTTGGGAAATAGCCATTTCTAAGCCACTTATAAGAAGCATATTTTTGCCGGGCTCGGTGGCTCAGCCTGTAATCTCGCGCCTTTGGTAGGCTGAGGTGAGTAGATTGCCTGAGCCTGCGGGTTCGAGACCCGCCTGGGCACCGAGACCTCATCTCTACAATACATCAAAAAATCAGCTGGGCGTGGTAGCGCATGCCTGTAATTCCGGCTACTCGGAAGGCTGAGGCGGAAGGATCGCCAGAGCCCAGCAGGCAAGGCTGCGGTGGCCGGGAGCAGCCACTGCACTCCAGCCTGGGCGACAGAGTGAGACTCCAACTCAAAAAAAAAAAAAAAAACTCCTATATCCTAAAACTTCGTTATGTCTCTCCTTGCTGCATTTCAACTTTATTTTATAAAAATAAAGCCTGCCTGTGTATTGGAAACAATAAACACTTTGGAGCCAGATAGTCCTGGCTTATAGCTGTCTCTATTTACCAAAGTTTCTTTCAGAAAATTACTTTGCCCAAGCACTAGGGGATAATGATTTTAAACTTTCAGATTGTTATGAGGATTCAGTGAGAGATTAAAATGCTTCACAATAACAGGCACTTTGTAAATGTTGATTCCCTTCCTCTAAGCATAGTTTTTTAAATACATGATGCAACCAAAAGAAAGAAATCCACAGGTAAGTGCTCTGGTTATACCAAGGTCTTTACTGGGATTTATAGTGGTTGGTTTTTGATTTTTTTACATAAACGGTTATCAAGATTTCCTCTGAAAATACCACTATCTTGAAAATCACAAATGTATTATTTGCTTTATATATATGTAAAGTGCTTCTGTCACCACTGTTTTAATTTTGTCTCTATGTTCTTAAATCTTCACAAAGAACTCTCAGTTCTGTAGGTTGACTTTATTATTTTTAATTGTATTAAGTTATAATTCTTAAATCGGTAGTATAAGTATTTGGTGAAAGAGATGTAAAGATGGAGTCTGTTGATAGTTTCATAGGCTTCATTATAGTTATTCCAAGTGTGTGCAAGTTTTTGTGTGTGTCCTTTTTTAATTCTAATGGTACTATTCTGTATACAGAGTTCTGCATTTTATTTGTTTGCTTAGCCATATATCTCAGAGACTGTTCAGATCAGAACCTAAAAACTCATTATTTTTAATCACTAAATAGTATCCTTTGTAAAGATGTTTCATAATCTATTTAACTTGGCCAACGTACTTTATATGGGCCTAATAGAAATGTTCCTATATTTATCACAATAAAATGAGTTTTCTGCCTCTTATTAAATAAAAACAAAATTTTGTCTTGTAGCTAAATTTAAGTTTCCTTATTTTCTTTTTCCCTTGAAAACAATAGAACCAAACTTAATCACTAACCAATTTTATTTGTATCTCTCTACCATATGAAAAGGAGTTAGAGAAATTTGTAATTTTTTGCCTTAAACTTTATTTTTTTGTTCACGTTAAGAGAAAAATAGATACTTTAAACATATGAACTCTATTTGTGATCCACTTTATATTTTTGAAACTTATCTTTTGAAGGTCTTCTTGTCTGGAGTATTAGGGTTTTACAGTGATTTGGACTCCCCCATCATAAAGGATTTCTTTGGCAACATAATTTAAATAGTCTATAAAGGAAACTTTTGTTTGATAGTGAGTGACCACCAGGGGCCTGACCCCTAGAGGGGTTATAGCATTCCTTGGCTTGACCTTAGATAATAATATGTCATGAAGCAATGAAATGAGGTTTTTGAGTAGAGATGGGGTTTACTTTACTGAATAGTAAGTGCATCATGGGAAGAAAAAGTGCTTAATTATTGCTAAAAATTAACTTTATAAATTGCTGCCACTTTTACCAGTTATTCTACAGCTAACAAAAAGTTGGTGTAGAAAGAGTTTCACTAGAACCAAAGTGCAGTGTATTACCACTGAAACATATCCATATCCTCAGAAGAGATTCATTTGCTTAGTAATGAAGATTTGTTTGTATCATAAAGAGAAGCATTTTCAAAAAATGAGCAATTCCACCTCTTATGCATATCATAACTTTTCATTTGGAGAGAGGAATCAGTTTATTTTGTATCCTTCTTTCTTCATCTTGGGTAAGAGTTCTCAAGTCATCCTGATAATGAAACATAATAAAGACTCAATAAATATTTATTAGAAAAATGAGGAGAAGCCGGGCTCAGTGGCTCAGCCTGTAAT